GTCAATAATTACAGTTAGATTAGCAATGAATTTATTGTCAGAAAATTAATAGGAAAAGAAGAAAATATATTTGTCTTAGAGTCTTCTGGGAGTTTTGTGTTAATTGTTGAACCGGGAACAAATCTCATTGACTTTTATGAGGGATTTGTCCTGAGATCTTTGTAAACCCCCCAATTTTCAAATATAGCTACAAATACCTTACAATTCATTTCCCTAACTGGGCCAACAGAAGCATCAGTGGAAGAGCTGAGAGAACCCTTTCAGACCCATAACGAGAGACACGGCTTGTAGGTTGACAACAGTGCCCGACGTGGCTGAGCTGAGATTCTTACGTGGCACTTGCCTGGTCTGCCTCATCAGTACGTGCGATTCAGAGTTGTACCCCAAAATTACAAACTACTGTTTCATTTCATAAAGCTTCAACTTATGAATAGTTGAAACTGTGAAAGCTATGTTCGTGAATGCCATTCAGAGTTCCTAAAACATCTGTGTAGTTTAAGATCCTGAGTTCTTTCTGTTTCTAGTGTAGCTCTGTATACCTGGAAAAATTCATAAAGTTCATTATCATCTTACTGTGTTTTATTACAAAACTCAATGTCACTTTTATTTTCCCCATGTATTTCTTCACCCTCCTTTGTGAAGACTTGAGCTTTAGTGAGAGGAACCACTACATGTTAAATAATTTATTTTGCTATATTCTAACTTCTGATGTCATCAAGAAAGTAGCTTAGGCCAATTTCAGATTTTCAGTACTTGATGAATATTTTTCCAATATGGTCTTCTAAGATATTCTTATGTTTTACATTGTCTATTAATCAACAAAACAAATAATGTATCCTGATATCTGACAGGACATTTCAAATACTTTATAGGTGTGCTTTGAGAGGAGTCTTGTTGCTCCTGTTAATTGTTGCATATTTGAACCTTGCTGCACAGTGTACATACTAAACAAAATTTAGATGTATAATCATTATTTTTACTTATTTATTTTTGGCAGCTGGCTGGTACAGGGATCTGGACTCTTGACCTTGGTGTTATCAGCACCATGCTCTAACCAACTGAGCTGACTGGCCAGCCCATGTATTAATTTTTAATTAAAAAATCTAGATGAACATAGAAATTATGTATCAAACTTTTATTTATTTATTTATTTATTTATTTATTTTATTTATTTATTTTTCCTTTTTGTCTTTTTTCGTGTCTGGCAACGGATCGCAACCCTCAGTGTTGCGCCCGTACCGGACCGGCAACGGGATTGCAACCCTCGGTGTTGCCCCCACACCTCGCTCAGCCAGTGAGCGGGAACCGGTCTGTATGTGGGATCCGAACCCTCGGCGGGAGCGCCACCGCGCTCCCAAGTGGCGCACTGTAGCAGTGCACCACCGAGCCGGCTCATGTATCAAACTTTTAAAGAGGAATTTGTTTTGTAATAATTTCTAATAAGAGACAGAATTCTGTAAAAATTTGTAATGGAAAATATTAAGATCTATTAGAAGAGTTGCCTTTTTGACTATAAAAAATTATCAAACATGTATATGCCTAAAAATTACCAAAAACAAAATAATACCTAGGAAAAATTCGACAGCATATTATGACTGAGAGGTGCTTTTATTACAGAGAATAGCTCATATAAGTAGATAAATGGGCAAAGATGGGAAAAAGAAACACTCGTATATATCTGTGTGCGTATGTGAGTGTGTGTGTATCATATAAAAGTAAATGTAGGGAAAAGGCCCAGTTTTGAAAAGGATTAAATAACTCAAAACCACAATAAGGCACCATTTAAGTCATTAAATTATTGTCATAATAATGTGGTGTGGTAAAATTAGCATCTGTTTTCTTCATCTGTACAACTGGGATATTAGTATTTAATCTCCTGTGGTTGTTTTGCTGATTAAAGAAGATAACAGATGTGAAGTGCTCAAAATAGTGCCTGATATATAAACTTTCAATAAATATTAGCTGCCACTATTGTTATTATTACCATTGTATTATTCCCTCCCACCCAAAGTAGAAGGAAATTGACATCAAACTCTTGCAAAGTATATAATTTTTCTTGAGGCAGATTTCAGGTGTTAAGTAATTTGAACCTGTAGGTAACTGAAATCTAAACTTCATCTTTGGTGTGATCACTATATAAATCATTAAATTTGGGGAAGCAGTTTGGCAATACGTCTCCTGAGCCTTTGATTTGGTAATCTCCCCTCCCCCACAAATCCATAATATTAGGGAAGAACTACATGTGCCAAGATGTTTATTGCAGCATTATTCATAATGGCAAAAAATGTTTACCTCCCTGAATGCCACTCATAAGGGCCTCAATGAGTAAATCGTGCAGCTATTTAAAATGAAGAGGTCACCAAAGGCCAAAAAAGGGGAATTTGAGATTTACCAGTTGCCTCTCATGTGTTTGGTAATTGGTCTATTTTATTCTCTTTTAATCCTTGAAATAACCCTCTGAGGTAGATTTTTTGTCTCCACCGGAGAAGTGAGAATCTAGGCTCAGTAGGAGCGGTAGCTCAAGGTCACATGGCTTGTTGGTGGCTGAGCTGGAACACAAACCCAGGCTTGCTGGGGTGGAGGTTGAGTCATGGTTGTTAAATGAACACAGGATAACACAAAGTCATGTCTGAATTATGATTTCAACTGCTGTTGTGGTTTAACACAAAAGTATTTTCTCCCTGTGCAGCTGTTTGACCTTTCGGAAATGATGGGGAACTCTCTGTTGCATTTATAGCTCTTTGCAAGATTTGCTCAAACTATGTGTACTGCGCAAACAATACGCATAGTCTTGATAATTTTAATACGGTTAGGAATTTCTAGTAACTGACAAGTGCGCCAGTAGAGTACATTGCTCTGGCAGGAGCCTGGACAGTTTTTCCTGACCTTTAGTTATAATTATATATCCAAATAAAACCATAGAAGAGTTCTTTCTTTTAAAATGCAGTTGATTAATTGAAGTTAATTAGACAGCTAAAGTAGGAGTACACTCAGACACAGAGAGGGCCACCTCTCATACCTCTAGAACGCTCAGAACCTTGGCAGTACCAGTCTGAGTATCACGGATGAATTTGATGTTCCTACGAGCATTTGGATAATAACTGTCTTATTTCACAATACTTAAAGATCTCTTTTCTCTCCCTTAATTTGCAGTGTAGGAATATTTCCAGATGCCATATGTTGATGAGGGAGAAAAATTTGCTGTTTAACTCCTGGCTCTCATAGCCACAGAGTCTGCAGATGTCTGAGTGCAGGTGGATTAGCTCTCTAGAGGCCTCTGCATTTGCCATCAGTACATCTCCTGATGAGGCTAGGGGAGTGGTTTTCATTGTGCTATAGCTAACTTATGGAAACAATGTGAGTATAATGAAAACTTTAATATTGTGAATGCAAATCAACCTATACTCTGTCTTTTAAGAAAGAAAGCATAGTGTATGTTCAGCTCCTTGTGAATCTCAAAGCCACAAGCAAGAAGGAGCCAGGTTTCTGCTTCTTTATGGTTCCAAAATATTTTCCTCCTTTCTTCTCAATAAGTAAGATCATCCTTGTTTGTAACCTCTACGGAAATGAATGGAAGTACCCTCTATTCTACCCTTCATCCCTGGGCCTTTGATGTTTAGCCAGGAAAATAAGAGCATGACTATCCGTCTCTGTATTAAAAGGAAATAAAAACCCATCAACCAAGAAGCTCATCGTCTGTTTTTCTTAGAAAAAGTCATTTCTGGACATAGAGTTGATGTCATGTTTGAACAATGCCCATTATCCCTCATCCTTAAAGGAGTGCAGTGGTCAGAACCACAGGTGTCTCTCTTCGCAGTAGCACTTTCCTGTAAATGTTGACCAGGCCATTCCACCGTGTCCCCTCTAGGCTCCCAGATCCAGCACCTGACGCAGGTGGGAATTGCTAGCAGAATCGGAGCTCAGCCTGTGGAAATCCCACCTAGCAGAGGCAGCCAGTATGGGGGACCAGGCTGGCCTTCGTACGGGGAGGATGAAGCGGGGCGCCGAGAGGCTGTGAGTATCTTGTCTTGGGCCCTCATTTAGAATTTAGACATAATCATGCATAATTTAGCTGTTTGCCTTTGGGGATCTCTTTTTAAAACCTGTATTTTTTTATTTTATTATTATTTTTTTTTGTCTTTTGTCTTTTTCCGTGTCCGGCAACGGATCGCAACCCTCAGTGTTGCCCCCGTACCGGACCGGGGACCGGCAACGGGATCGCAAGCCTCGGTGTTGCTCCCGCGCCTCGCTCAGCCAGTGAGCGGGAACCGGTCTGTATGTGGGATCCGAACCCTCGGGCGGGAGCACCGCCGCGCTTCCCAAGCGGCGCACTATCCAGTGCGCCACTGGGCCGGCCCAAAACCTGTATTTTTTTTTAAAAAAAGTTTTTATCTCCGTCACTCTTTCCCTCTTGCTTGTGTTTTTTTGCTTGCAGATTTTAGATGGTAAATTCCCTCTCGCCCCAAGAGGAAGGGAATTGACGTCAGGCTCTTAGAAAGTATATAATTTTTCTTGAGGCACATTTCAGGTGTTAAGTAATTTGAACCTGTAGGTGACTAAATTCTGTACTTCATCTTTGATGTGATTACTGTGTAAATATTCATGATTTTATATACCACGTGTGCTTCACGTGGGAATATTAGCATCATTTCCACTGTGACCACCGTGAGTAGATGATTTTGCAGTAAGCGCACAGTTGGGGGCTTTTTAAGGCACAAGTTTTCTTTTTGAGGCTTCTAATCTCAATATGGGTATAGTCTTCATCTTTGATGTGATTACTGTGTAAATATTCATGATTTTATATACCACGTGTGCTTCACATGGGAATATTAGCATCATTTCCACTGTGACCACCGTGAGTAGATGATTTTGCAGTAAGTGCACAGTTGGGGGCTTTTTAAGGCACAAGTTTTCTTTTTGAGGCTTCTAATCTCAATATGGGTATAGTTAATTTCCACAAGTACTTTCTTTTTTTTTTTTTCCAAGCATTTTATATTCTTGAGGGATAAATTCATGAAGTTTGAAAATACAAACCAAAATATTACTTTTTGTTTTATCCTTATCCACTATGCATTGCATTTCTGTGCCTTTCCAGCAGTCACACTAAATTCTTTTCATGACTGGATGCTTTTGCTCAGTGAAAGGAAATTAACTTTAGAATATGACTTTTCCCTAAAAGAGACATTGTTATAATCTCAAGTATTTGCTTTAAGTTTGCTGATATTTTTCTTTGTCTGCCTTCATTGTGCCCAGCTTAGTTTCATGAGGTATTTTGGGTTTTCCTGTGAAATCCAATAATGTTCACTTTGGAGTACCTCTTTGGAGCAATGAAATGTAGAAATAATCTAGGGCTGGAATGACATGTTTACTTCACTAATAACTTGCTATCAGCGTTAAGTTTTTTAGTACACAGATTTAGTACTCTTACATATAAATGCAAGGAGAGGTATTTTTACTGGAAAAAATATGAAAAAAATCACTGAAAAGTGTAATAATTCTTGTCAAACTAAAGCCAAATGAATCTGTATTCTGCAAATATCAGTTAAACTGTTATCTACTTGAGTGCAGATAACTTGGTAAAGAGGCAGCTCAACAGACACACAGACGGAAAGATGGATGACAGATAAAATGGAAAATGACGTGACCGTGTTGGGGTTCTGGGGTCCTATTATGTGTTCACGTGCACACTCTCCCATCCAGGACAGAGGTGGTGGTTGTCCTTGTCAGTCCCTTTACCAACATTGCTCACCTCCTGCAGCTCCCAGATATCATCTGACCTTTCACCTCCATGGTGTACTCCCCCCCCCTTCCTTTCTAGCTCCCCAGGTCCTTTCCTGTTCTCCCTGTGGGCCAGGAGCCCAGACCAACTCCTGTCTTCACCCACTCCCTCCTATGCATGGTGGCACAGGGACATGGGCAGTAGGGTCCCTGTTGGAGAGCCAAGTTGTTAGGTGGGTGATGAGCCGAGAAAGTCTCAGGAACATTCCCAATGCCAGTTTGAATTTGATTTTCCTTCTTGTTCTTACGTGGGAAGTACGGTAATGTTTGCCATGTTTTTCAGACACACATGCTTGGACAGCAAGAGTATTCTTCACCACTCTATCAGGTGCCAAGGACTTCAGGCAGGGAGCCCTCAGCCCCTCCCAGGAACCTCCCCCACCGAGGACTGCAGGGCCCCGGGCTGGGTTACCCCACCAGCTCCACAGAAGACCTCCAGCCCAGCCACTCCTCAGCCTCTCTCATCAAAGCAATCCGCGAGGAGCTCCTGAGGCTCTCTCAGAAACAGAGCACCGTGCAGAACTTCCACAGCTGATCGGTCTGGCCTTGCAGAGTGGCCAAGTATCTGCTTCCCGTGGAAGCAAGACTGAAAGGAAATCAACTGAGTGGCTGATTGTAAGACAAATGATCAACTCCCGGGCAAGCGGCCCCAGTAAGGGAATGAGTTGCGATTTTAGAAGATGCCATAAGTCACGTGACAGCTCATGATACTTTTACTGTGTTGGCAATTTTGTGACCTCTTCGGTTCAGTTGAATTTTATGTACTTTTGGCCAAAAGCCAGCAGCACTTCACAAAAACAACACACAAACCTAAGCTAACAAAAGTACTAAGTCTCCATTCTAAAGGCAAAAGATTAAAGTGTGTAGATGGTGTAGGGATGCAAGCAATCAAACGCTTCTGTGGGACTCAGACTGATGTGTGTGATTGAAGTTGCTGCTTTGTTTTCTGAGAAAAGAAATTTGAAGACATTTTGTTAACAGATTGATTTCCCTCTTTTTCTCCATAGGAACTTATTTTAATAGTAATATTAACAGCAGGAATACTAAGACTGTTTGGGAATTTAAAAAGCTACTAGTGAGAAACCAAATGATAGGTTCTAGAGCCTGATGATTCCAAATGAAGCCATCACCTGCATTTTTCCTTCTGGTGCTACAGCTCTGAGGGCCCCCCCACCTTCATGTCTGTGAAATGCAACTTGCTTTTTCAGTGGAAGAATATGTTGAAGGTCTCATTTTGTTCTAGGAAAAAAACAAACAAACAACACTCCCAAATCAAGGGAAAAGCTTAATATTTATTTGGTTATTCAAAATACTTATTGAAGTTTAGGTTTACTTTCTTGATTGTATTTGCTGTTAATTAATGGGGCACGTGCAACTCCTGGCAGCATTCCATTTCAACACATATCATTGAGCCCGGTCCTCTAGAAGGCGGCTATCAAGAGGTCCTAATTGATCCTTGCACTTTGCCAATGATTTGCTCACAAATTATGTCTGGATGGGAAATTTTATGTAAGCAAAAATTATTTATAAAAATTCCTAGGTCCACCAAACTGTGATGAGTACATCCCTGGTAATCACATTCCCTGTGCTCAAGACCTGGAGTAAAATTGAGTTCAGTTCAGCCTCTCTGCAGCGAATTAAAAAATGTAAAGAAGAGCTTTGAGCCCACAAGGGAAAGGAGAGATTGCTTCTCATTTTTTATTTTATTGTGTTATCACTCTGTTGAGTGACTATTAAAAGTATCTTAGGCACTTTGGGGCTCAGAGAGGGGATCATCTCACTTAAGATCTATTCCTCAAGTAAACGTTTCCCCACTCCCCAAATTATAGTAAGGAATATAGTGACAAGGGCCATTGTGTTTCCTGGTACCTGAGTGAAACTCAGGAGAAAAATAGGCTTAGATTAAGAGATTTTCATTATAACCTCTTTTTATTAGATCAATGAATACTTTCAAATAACAGAGAAATGGGTAGAAATTGGGGCTTTAATCAAAACCTGAGTCAAGTTAAGAACTCTGAAATACATAAAACAGTTTTCCAAAGTCTAATCATTGGGTTCCAGAATCATGTTTCAGCAGTTCCTTAATTAAGCCTGTTGTACAGACTTAGTCTTACAGTACAGGGAAGGTTGATTCTGGGAAGTGAAAATATAGCCATTTTTCATCTGTACACCTTTGAAAGGGAAGGGCTGCAGGAGAATAGGTCTCTCAAGGGTGTTTAAAAAAAAAAAAAAGACTGGCAGCTCCTTTCCAGGCAAACCTCAGAATCTCCAAAGAGCGTGAGAGAGAAGGCCACCTTCTCGGCTTATTTTCATCTGTACACCTTTGAAAGGGAAGGGCTGCAGGAGAATAGGTCTCTCAAGGGTGTTTTTTAAAAAAAAAAAGACTGGCAGCTCCTTTCCAGGCAAACCTCAGAATCTCCAAAGAGCGTGAGAGAGAAGGCCACCTTCTCGGCTTGATTTCTTACCTCTTGGTCTTGTTTACTGTCAAACTCCCCCAGAGTGTAGGATTCTTTTGCTGTCACTCAAAAATACCAGGTTTCTTGAATATAGTAATAAGAATTTCCGATTTGTAAACAGAATTCTATTATGGACCCCTTACAATGAATTTAAGTCGTGTGACAGCAGATGGAATAAACGGCCCCTCCTCTCGTTCTGCTCAGTGTCTTAAGTGTTTGTGAGTAGAGTGTACTAAAAATGGTTACCTCCTTACGTTGCAGAAACGGGTCTCTGTTTCAAAGAGGGTTGACAGCAACAGCAATTTTGATGCCTTTCAAACTACCCTAAAGGGGTTCTACCTGTATTTTTTTTCTTAGAACTGATACACCTGTAAACATGTATCAAGACCAAAGATGACATATAAGAAGCAACTGGTGGTGTGTGGTATGGTGTGAGCAAGCCCCATGGGGCTGCGGCACGCTCTTGTTGGTTGTAAAGCACACTAAGTTTGCATTTGTTTCCTCTAAATACTTGCTGCAATGGTTTCATCAGTCAACAGACTCAGAATGAACCAGCTGTTGTGGGTAGCACCATGCCCAGCGGGTCTTCAGGCACTCGATTCACGTGATCTACTTAAAAGGAAGGTCCTCAAGTTGATCGTGTGTGGCTTTGGAGTTCCATTTGTGGAAGCACTCTAGATGAAAAGTTAAATTTTATGTGTATTCTTTTCCTATTGTAGAAATTCTAGTGGTAACACAGACTCTAAGTCAGAATTTTAGACAAGACTGGAGAGATGATTCCTTGCAGAATCTACTTTGTTACTTACTCACTGTGTCAAGTTCCTTCTCTGAATTTCATTCTCCCCATCAGCCAAATGAGAGCAGACCTCTCCTGCCCACTTCCTGGGGTCTGTAGTTGTGAGAATCAGATGCGATTATGTGTGCAAACATCCCTTGAGGAGGGAGCAAAAAGCATCGTGAACATATAAAGTGCTGTTTGTGTGAATGGCATGGCAGGACGATGTGATATTCGTGATCTACCAGTGAATGGAGTCCCACGTGGGTAACTGGAGCAAAACTAAGAGCCCAGTGTGACTCCTCCTCCTCCCTCCTGTTTTGCTTTAAATTCACTTCCTTCTCCACTGACTTTCAAACCACATTTATTAAGCATCTTTCTGCTCCTGATTTTCTGCTGTTTCTGGCACCGAACAAATAAGCAGACATGAGCCCAGCCTTCCGAGATTTAGAATCTAAGTCAGATAGTACAGCTAGGTATAAAAGATGGAAGATAAATAACATGCTTTAAACATCAATAAAATGTATTCAAAGTACACAAGTGCATTAGGTACTCAGAGGAAATCATGGGAGTTGCACGCTTGGAAATGGTGGATGTGGGGGAGAAGTCAACTGCAGAAGCTACTTCAATGAAGACAGAGGAGCTGCCCAGGCAAATGGTGAGATGGTGTGGGGAGAGCGGAGACTGGGCCGGTGAGGAAGTAGAAATTGTGTGAAGCTATCATTGAAAATGAGTTTGATCCTGATCGGCTGCCGTGTGGGGACAAAATCCCTCACTGCACTGTTTAGGGGGTTTTAGAAGAGGAGGATATGTTTGCAGTAATACAGCGAGGAAATGGCCAGGTGTGTGAAGATCTACAGAGGAAGAGCTCCAGTCTGGGGTAAGGGAGGGAGCGTGCCAAGAACTGCTGAACGACCAATGTAAAGTGTGAAAATAGTGATGAGAATGACACTGAGGGTCACTGCTTAGAGCAGGTCTCAACAGTCAGCCATTCGGCTATGGAAAATCCTTTCTGGAAGATAGCAGGTTATAAATAATCTATTAGACTTCTTTACACATTTTCCTCCAGATCTTATTTAATTTCAGAGTGTGTTTTGATTTTGGTGGCACATGGCTTTTAAACTGCGGGTTTTTGCCAACCAGATTTTATAGGTGAAGGTACGCCCAAAAGGCTTTGGGCTAAAACAAGTAATTCTGTGCTTTACAAGTCTCCTATTTCCCATGCACAGGGTCAGTTTTACTGCATTTGTACAGCCTGCTCGTGAGTGCTCCAGTGACTAAACCAGTCACTCGGACACCGACTTGCATTGGCAGTAACCCACACATTATTCATTAAAAAAAACCCGTTATCCCTATCATACTAGAGTCGTAGACGTGAGTGAGTGTGTTGGTTGGAAGGAAAGCTGGTTAAGGTTCTGGGCGTGGGGGCAGAGGGACTCCAATCTTAGGTTCCACACTAACTTCAGCTCTACTTGAGTTTTCGCCATGTCATTTCTACCTCCAGAGCAAGGCTCCAAGGCCAGTCTGCGGAGCCTGCTTATGCACATCTGTCCTGGGTAGGAGCGTGAGGATGTCCACTCTGTACTTGCAGATAGACGGTGTGAACACAGAACATTTCTATGGGACAGTGTTGAACTTTGTATTTACATTGAACCCAACATGTTAACAGGCATCCTTGTAACAGGTGAGAGGGGTTTCTATGAGCAAGTTCTGTAACAAAATATAATAGACTTACACTTGTTACCTAATGAACAAGGAGTGTGTACATTTCAGATTTCTTTTGATATTCTTGGAGGTGATCGTTGGTGTTTAAACTAGGACTTCTTTTTCCATTGTTGAAAAGACATGAAAACCAAGACGTCATGGTACACTGCTAAGTCCAAGCTTGTGCGTAACAGTACACTTGACAGTTTATCTTAAGAACACACGGAAGCACTGAAATTTAGGAAAAGAATATTAAATGCCTTTGGAAACATGAAACGACACCAGGAACCAGTGCGAAGGTGGGAGCAGCAATGAATGTCTTAATCTGAAGCACTCCAGTCCAAATTAGTTTCCCACAGGGTGGATAATTATCCGGGCTCCTTACTTTTCCTTCTTCCTCCAGGTTTTTCTGCTCTGGGGCCACTTCACACTTAAAAAGTAAAAAGGTAGAAAGGACAGAGATAAACATTAGAATAATCTGAACCCCTGATTGCACGGAACCTTTCTGGACTACTTGGAGCATTGTGAATAGTCTTTTCTTGTGCCCACCAGATCTCAAGTATTCATAACTTGATTCCCTACGTGTGCAAGTTGGGAATAGTACAGGGCCCAGGTCAAGACAGACACCCTGTGCTGTTCTGCCTGCAGATGTGGGGAGAGAAGAGGGAAGTAGTAGAGGAATTGAGGCTCTGCTCCTTAATTCAGTTGTTCTAAGCACCAGAGGACTCTTTTCAGAAAAGGGGAGTAGAAACGCTCTCCCCAGCCTGCCTCCAGTGCATCATGCGGGGAGTTGGGGGGTCGGGCTAGTGTTGACAAGAAGGGTTGCTCAGCAGAGCTGCTCTGGGTGCCGAGTTTTCTCCTATTTTGTCAAGGTCCATGTTCTCACTCTTGCTGCACCCTCGTTCCTAGATTGTGAGTGTTAATGTACGAAAATGTGCAGAGCAAATTGAGGCCACCAGTGGCGTCGATACTGCAACTCGAACTTGACAATCATGGTTTGCTGGTCTCAAACGGGCACTTAAGTCTCCGTATGGGTATATGATTTAGTAATGAACCCTCTCTTCTATTTGTTGGTTATGTTTCTACCCTTCAATTAGCTGCACTGTTTTCTAATGTGCTGTAGAGTTTTTGAAATAATTTATGCAAGTGTTTGGTTTCCATGTTTACAATTTATACAGCTTTCCTAGCATTTTAAATGGAAATGTCAATAAATGCTATGAATTGGTGTCAATGTGATATTTTCCGTTCATTTCCTTTGCACCATGAATGTTTTCTCAT